TTTTTATAAAAGTTAAATACCTTTAAGGCCTCCCATGTGAACATAGCCCAAGACTCTTTTGTCTCGATTCCAGAAGTTTGCTTCAGTCTGACCTTCATGTTTGTCTTAGACAGTAAAGGTTTCTCCTCTCAGGAATGTTCGTTCAGCTTGTTCAGTTTCTTTCTGATTGGTTAGACATGAACTGTCAGATCAGCAGTAGCAGGACACAGAGTCTTAAATTTGTATTTATTTCTTTACCCACTTTAAGTGTTTAAAGGAAGAATCTGAGAATTAGCAGAAGCAATCCTGTAGTTGTTCTGATGACCTTCTCCTTTTCTTTCCAGGCAGCCAATCCTGGCTGTGTTTTGGAGGACTTTGTCCGCTGGTACTCTCCGAGGGATTACGTAGAAGAAGAAGTGGTCGACGGGAACGGATCCACTGTCATCAGAGGAGAACTTAGTGCAAGAATGAAAATCCCCGGCAACATGTGGGTGGAGGCATGGGACACGGCCAGGGTGACCCCGGCTCGGCGCCAGAAGAGGCTGTTTGATGACACCAAGGAGGCAGAAAAGGTCCCAATCAGCTGGAAACAGAACACATGATTTATAAGTGATCAGTCTTGATTGAGCTGCAAAATATCAGGAAAATATTTCAGCTACTAAAAACTGGGATGATGGTTCCATTACCAGGTCAAGCTATTTCAGTCTAGTGAAACATCACCTCAGTTCAAGCATCAAGTGGTTTAAGACTTTAAAAAGACCACAAAAATCCAAATTTCAGTTTCAGATGTAAAAGCAAAATTTATCACATGTGTTCTGTTTTTTTAGGTGTTGCATTATTTGGCGATGCTGAAGCCCGGAGACCTGGCCCGTCACCTGCTCCCCTGCCTGCTTCATGCTGCTATTATGAAACTGAAGCAGGAAGGTGAGTCCTGTTTGACGGCTTCATGTCTGTTTTCTAAACATCTACATTTACCAGCCTCTTCATGAAAGAGTTTCATAAACACGCAAAACAAAATACATTAAAAAAAAAGTATTAATCAAAGTAGCGGCGATGATACTCAGGACGTGAGGTCAGCAACAACTTCAGTGTGCTGCACAGGTTGAAGTGTTTTATTAAAGTCAGGGCCTTTAATGATCTTTATTCTAACAGTGTTTTGGTGGATTTCTCTAACAGAGTCGGTAGAGAACATTCCATCAGTTGAGAAAAGCATTCAGCAAGCTGCAAGTCAAGCCAACAAACTGCTGCACTCTGCTAACTACGACTACAAGAAGCTGGAGGTCAGTACTTCCTGTTCTGGACTTCATTAAAAGGGCAAATAAAAAGGAAAGCAATTTTTATCATCATTTTATCCAGGTACAAATAAAAAAATTTGAATATTGCAACAACAAAAAAAAGCTGGACCTTTTTGAAACTCCTGTAAAATATTGATTTATAACACCTAGAGTGAAATATGTCAAGCCTTTTTTATTGATATTTATGGTGTACAGATTATGAAGATCCCAGATTCAACGTCTCAGAAAATGTAAATATTTAATAAGATTAATGAAGGATATTTTCATCACAATGTTGATATGTGTGTGAGCTGCAGACTTGACATCTGAACTTCAGGTTTTTAAGAGCAAAATTAGAACCAACCTGCTGCGCCGCTACAAGCACACATCCTGCTTTTCAAAATAAAAGCCATTCTTCATCCGTTCATTCAGAAATTGTAAATTTTCTTTTAGTTTATTGAGGAGAATTGCTTTAATGGATTATATTGGATTCTGGAACATATTTGTGTTGAGCCCTGATAATGACTATAGATATAGAATAATAATAATAATAATAATCTTAAACATAATCTGGTTTACATTTAAAGTGTCTTGATAGTGCGATATGTAAAGAAATAAATCCACAGGGATTAATAACTACAATAGACTGCTCGGGTCAACTGAGACACAAGGTGTTTGTTGCAGTGGCCCAGTCAAAGTCCGGATCTCAGAACTGCTCTAACTTGTTAATGAACTAAAGAATAATGTTTGTCCTGTTGTCTTCTCCATGCTTCAGTTATGACAGCATTTTTCTCTCCACACAGGATTTTATTAACCAGTTGGTCACCATGGAGATGGTCATCGCAGAAGCTCGCTCTCTCAAGGCCAAGTTTGCTGTTAACGAGGAAGAGGAGAACGGCCAAGATGAAGACGATCTAGAGAAGTAAGTTCAGCCAGCTCACAGTTTGAAGCTGAGCTCATCCCAAACCGTCGCCATGGATCGGGACAGGAAGCTCCTACTGGGCGTTTAGTGTGTATCCTGTGTGTGTGTGCTGTGTGTGTGTCCTGTGTGTGTCCTGTGTGTATCCTGTGTGTGCGTCCTGTGTGTGTGTCCTGGGTGTGTGTCCTGTGTGTGCGTCCTGTGTGTGTGTTGAAGGTTTGTGACGTCGCTGCTGGAGGAGCCCGAGGTCGTGGTGCTTGGAGCTGGACAGGCTCGCATCGGCAGAATCATCCACCGACTCTTTATTAGCGCTCAGCGGGTGAGTGGCTGGCTGCTAACACACACAAGCGTGCGCACACATACACACGTTACTTTTCATTGGCTTCCATTCATTTCTACAGCGTAAGCCACAGAGAGGCTGGCTGACCAGAACCGGTCTGGTTCTGGTCCGAACCAGAAATGTAGGCAGAGGAAAGGCTTTAGCGCCTCAACCTCTGACAGCCAGGTCAGAGGTTGAGGCATCAACTCACCCACTCACTCTTTGGTTACCTAGCAACAGCTTGCAGCAGTTTCAGTTTTCTCCACTATTCCTCATAACCGCTGAAAAATCATAGAAAAATAAAAACAACAGCATTGGGTGAAAACTGAAACAGGCAATTTCATCCACCAGATTGACAGAATTTTAGATATTTAAAGCAAAAAACTATAACCAATAATTATCGATATCAACCGATATGAAACACTTATATCGTAATAGTTTTCCACCAGTACAGTCTTGGTCCTCTGCTGGTTCCCAGTTGCAGACGGTTTCCTCTCTTCCTCAGGCGGCTCTTTTGGCTCCAGTGGACGACGATCTGGAACCGGCTTCTGAAAGCAGGAAAATCCCAGACTTCCCTCCTCCTGCGGGCCGGGAGATCCTGCTGAGAACCTGTGTTCCCCGACCCGCTCCGTACTCCAAGGCTTTGCCTCAGCGGCTCTTCTGCGTGCTGATGAAGGATGAGTTCAGGCTGGCGGGGGCCTTCTCTGCAGACACTTCGTTCTTTTAGCCTCTGCCTGCTGGAACGACCTTCACAAAGGCGTCACATGCTGCCGTTTTGTTGCTTCACTCATCTTTAACTGTTAGAAGAGGCGTCTCAGGTCCGGGTGGAGTGATGGTCTGGGATGTGAAGAGACGTTTGGTTCAAGAGCTTTTCAACCTAAAGCTAAAGAGATTAAAGTCAAAGTGATTTATCAGTAAAAGGTTTAGTTTGCTTGCAGTTCAATCCAGAAGTGATCCGGTTACAGATTTTCTTATCATAATCATATCCTACCATTATTGCACATTCTGTACTCATTCCATATTCACATATATTTCTGCCAAAACATTACAGTGAAACCATGAGAGTCACTGTGGGGCGAATGACTGACTTTATCCAATGTAATCCAAACTTGAACTTTGATTTTTAGATGTTTGGATGATGGTCTGTTTCTCCACGCTAAGATGAAACCAACATAAATTATAGAGGGATGAAATTCTTCTCTCCATCACTGTATACATTTTATCTATGTGCAGTAATGATCTATGCCATTTCACCATGTCATTATTTTACTTCTGTCTGTACTGTACATTTGTAAAACAGAAATGAAACATCCAAAACGAATCGTTGTGAATCATTATACCAGACAGTCTGATCAGAGGCATAAATGCCATTTTGCAAATCTCTTCATGTGGATTTTCAGATGAGTGATGTGATCAAATGCATATTCATGCATTCTGATTTTTAATAGCCTCAGCATGTTGCTTCATTGCAAAGACTGGTATCCCACAGTTCCACCCTGCTGGACTATCTGGACTAGGAATTTTTCAACTTCTTAACTGAAGAAATTAGAAAGTTGTTCATCAGAACAATATTGATCGAGTCTGATCTACAGAACAGGTCAGGAGGTAACTGTTCATTAGACCCAGAGTGAGACCTCTGACCTGTTGTAGTTCATCAGTTGATTGGGGCTGATTAACACCAGGAGTTTCCAGTTATGACGTTTTAAACATTGTTCTGATTTCCTGACACTGAATTTTGGGTTTTCCTTCTCTGGGAGCCAAAATCATCAAAATGACAAGAAGCTGGAGGCTTGGACTATTCCACTATGTGATTATAGATAATTAGATAAATAGAATTTAATTTAAAGAAATACTTGATTAATCCTAAAGGGAAGTTAAATGTTGTAGCTCATTAATTCAGATTCTTCAAAAAGTTGTTGTAGATTGTAATAAATGTTGGCAGGAAAGATCTCCAGTAGAGGTCTGTATTTCAGTGAATCTGAAGAAGCCTCTGACTGAAGACACTGTTTTCCCCAAGACCGTCTCATGAAGTCCAGCTTGTTGTCCAGATGAACGTTGAGGCATCTTTATTCCTCAACAACCTCCACTTCTTCTTCCATGATGGAAATAGTTTGATCTGATCGTGTTCCTCTTGAAATCTACAATCATCTCTTTTTTTTATGTCAATATGAGATGATTGTTCCCACACCGTGACACGAAGCGTCCACCAGCTCTCTGTACTCAGCCTCTTGTCCGTCTCTGATGGACCCTGTGATGCTCCTGTGCAATGCAATAAAGAAAAATATATTGCATATGCAATATGTCAAGTTTATGAGATGTGGCTGCTGCTCTGGCACAAATGATAACTGATCATTTGTACAGCACCAGTTAGTATATTACAGTGTTTACTGCTTCTCTGTTAGTCAGCCTGAGCAGCTGATTATGTGAATGAACTCATGTTCTGTTGTATCATATCTGCATGGAGTTTTCATTTACTGAACTCATTCCAGACAAGATCTGCACACAGACATCATGCTCACTCAGAGGCTTTTATTGTTCCTTTCTTTTAAACATTGGAAATATTTCTAAGACAAAGAAGCTTCATCACTTCACTCACCTGACCCTTCACTGACCTCTCGGGTCTCAGAGGTCAGGGAACAGAACTGAACAGTAAACAGTTTGTCATCCACACCACAAAAATATTCAGTGTTTCATAACTGACTCACTGTTTCCACCAAGTGAGACCGCTTGAGTTAAAGTTTGCATCAGTGTAGAGGAGGAGACATTCAGCTACAGTACAGCTACAGTACAGCAGCTAACTGCTTTAAGTTGGTAAACAGATCAGATTACAGTAATGGAAGCTATCACACGCCGCTTCACCAGAGCTAATGAAAACTAAAGATGTTTAAGGTTTGCAGAACGTAGAGCTGCTTGTTTAACTCAGATACTCATCCAGCTCGGTAGGATTCACTGCAGTCCCAGGAGGCTCCAAGCAGAACTCTATTTGTTCTTCAAATACAAAAAACGTTTCTACTTCATCAGAATCAACATACTGTGAATAAAAAGGGAAAAAAAAATACATATCTTTTGCATAAACTCAGATATAGGTTCTAAACTACATCTGAATATCAGCTTGGAAACCATTCTACTCATCAAAATTAGTTTGGTCATTTCTCTTTCAAAGTTCTAATAATCAAATGTTCATTATTACAGTAGTAAGTCCACAGAAGCATACCTTCAGGTAAAATAAGCCAGCATGTTTTTGTGCGTGGGGATGCTGCAGATGAAGCCGTCCCCACGAAGCCACAAAAGGAAAAGTTTCTCAGTGTCTCCAGGGCAACAAATGAGCATTAAGAGATGATGAACAGCAACATGTGACTGAACAAAATGCAGTAGTAAAATGTCAGCAGTGAAAAACCGTCTCCTGCTTTCCTCTTTACTAAGAGTTGCTACACCTTCAGTTTGAGAAACGCTTCATCAAACAGTTAAATCTACAGATCCTGAATTTAAAATGATACAAGTGGGATGTTGTGGGAACCCGGTGCAGGTGGGGTTAAGGTGCAGCCTGTGGTTTAAAAGAGGGGATGGGGTGAGTGAGGGGGCTCAGCCCTCTTTCGGGGTGACTCGTGGTCCAGCCAACGAGTTCTGAATGATGCTGTGGATGGAGTCCACTCCCTCTGCTTCCAGAAGAGAGCGATGGTTGCCTTCGATGACGTAAACCGACACCTTCCCGTCGCAGACCTGAAAAAGACGTGAGAATCAGAACCTGTCAGCGTTTCAGCAGCGAGGGAATCGGAGCTTCGTTTGAATGATTCAGGTTACTCTGCCAAAACACAAAGCTCTAGTTTCTGGAGCAAATATCTCAGTCCAGCAGTTCCTCAAGCCGGGCCTCCATCTCCTCCCCTGCATGTTTTGGATGCGTCTCTGTTCCAGAAAACCTGGTTCCTCTGCAGCCACCAAGATGCTGCAGGAGCCTGAGAACCAGCCATTCACTGGGAGCCACTGCAGGGCCGGGTGTGGAGGACCGGCTTTATGATCCACTACAACTTTTCAGCAATATAAAGGAGTTTATTTCAAATAAATAATTCTTCAGTTTTCATTTAAAAAATATTAGTTCCATTTTCAAACTATCTTTTATTCATAACAAGGGGAAAACATTAGTTTTCTGTATTTTCTAACTTGTTTTCAGAAGGGTATTTTTTTAGGTGTTCAGGGCTGGATCTGGTTTCAGCTTGTTTTAGGGTCAGAGGTCAGCTGTTGAGTGAAAGTGGAGGGTAAAGACAACAGTCAGGAAACGTGTCCACATGTTTATACAGGGTTTTTCTACCATGTCTGGAGAATATGGACGTTTAAGACACATTTTGATAATAGAAGATGTGGGAAAGACATTTCCACATTTATTCTACCATAAAGTGGCTACAATCTCACAAACATTCATGAAATGTTCGTGACGAAAACATCAGGAGAGTTTGCTAAGGGATTTTAAAATCATGTCATCCAGGCAGTGTCATTAGTTATGGGTAACCTCTTACAAAAAAAATAACATTAGACATCAATGTGTGAACATTTCACAGTAATAATAATAACCATGAATGCATCATTACCTCATTTAGTTTATAGTCTTCTCCCAGATTTTGTTCATATTCACTGCTGGTTTTGGCGCGCAGTAACACAACGTTGCCATGGTACTTCGTCGCAGGTACGTATACGTCTGCGGCTTTCAGCTTGTGGTAGAAGGTGGAAGCCGCAAAATCAAGGAGGTCACGGCTGATGTTCTTGTTGCTGGAGGTGATGAGGTCCACCGCCACGCTGACGCGAGCCGGCAGGTCCGACAGCGGCAGCAGGCGCTCCAGCAGCTGAGGTACCAGAGAGCAGAGGACAAAACGGCTCGGACTGATTTGTTGGGTCTGAATTGTCCCTAAATATTATATAATTCCTTTCATGCACTATGCACGCAAAAATATACATTCATTTCACACTAAGCCAAAAAAGTAACAATGTAAATTCTGCTTAGTCACTACAAACACTGCTGACAAGATGTTAGAGTCTACAGATTTCCTCTGATTGTTTCCTTTTTTCTTAACTTCACTGTTCTCACAAATAATGAGAAAAGGATTAACAGGCGATGAATCAATAGTGTTGGTGAGCGTCTGTCTGTCAGAACGCGCTCCAGTACCTTGTTGTACTCCATGCCTGTGAACTGCTGGATGAAGGCGCACATGGCCTCCGTCTCAGCCTCACTCTCTTTGCCTGGAGTCAGCTTGGCTCTGTAGCTCTGCAACAAACACATTATGACATCATTCACTGAGAAACCCAGATTGAAAGCACTGATCACAGCCTGGCATTATGTTAGACTAAACATTTAGTTTTTTTAGCTCAGGTAGAATCAAATCAATTCAATTCAAAAACACTTTATTGAGCCCAGAGGAAAATGTGTTAATGAAAAATGAAAGGGGGGATTTAACACAGATGTTGTGAAAGCGATGACATCATCCTCTGGGCTTTAACCAACAGCTTAAACGCTTAAAAAAGTTCTGCCATTATTTTGATTCTTAACAAATAGAAATAATTATGTTAGTAAAATAATCTTCGTCTTATTCTCGGTCAAGTATTTTGTAAAATTCTCTTCTATAATTAAAATCCAAGTGCATACTGGGACCAGTGTGTGTGTGAACTGGTTCTTTCCTCTGACCTGTGTGTAAGCTGCCACATAGGAGTGTGAGCCATCAAACAGGAACAGATGCTCCACACTGTGGTTGAGGGTCTGCAGCTGGGCGCACATTTCAAAGGCCACACAGGCTCCGAAGGAGTATCCCCCGATCCGGTACGGCCCGTCTGGCTGCAGCTGCCTGATGCAGTTCACATAGTACGCTGCCAGAGCCTGGATGCTGTCCAGAGGAGCAGCTGGGAGGAGAACAAGAACAGACTGGGATCAGTGGGTTTAGACAAACACACACAAAATAATAAGGAAAAATGTTGCAAAAGAAATTAGACCCTTAACTTAATTACAATCATCCAGCAGCTCCTCAATATGACTATGCATTAATAAATGAATTCCCAGAATAGTAAAGAAAGAAAGCTCACAAAGTGAGAGGCCTGTTTTCATATTATTTCCACTTTACAGGCGTAGTTCTGTATTCACACAGTAAACAAGGCATGATGTGGTACCTTTGGTGCACTGCAAGCCGAAGCAGGGCATGCTGAGCTTGGAGGCCAGCGTCCTGAACACAGAGATGGAGCCTTCAATGGGATGGACCAGGAACAGGGGCCTCTCCTGGCTCTGAGCCTTGTTGAGTGGGATCACTGTGGGGCCGCTGGGGTCCACCAGCACCTGGGTCACATCAGACCCCAAAACGGAGCGAGCCGGATCCTTCGTGGCTTTGGTCTGGTTGCATTCTACTGATATTATTAGGAGAGAGAGAAAAGGAATGACTGGTGTGTCACAAACAGATGAACCTGAAGTTCAGAAAGTCAGAACCAACTGAGTTGTTGTTGCTCTGCAGTGCCTTGTAAAAGTGCTCAAATATTAAGAACTTTAATAATTTTACATGATGGATCTACATCATTCTGTGCTACAGTATGTAGCACAGAATTGTGAAGTGGAAGGAAAGTGTTTTATGTTTGTTTTGTGTTGATTGCTCCTGTTAGGTATAAATTGAGGTGCACCAATTAATCGTCTGATTGATGAATCAGCTCCAGTTTCCTTAATTTGGGGAAATCAGCAATCAGTCAGTTCTTACATGAGAATACGTTCATGACAAAGTCTGACCAGTCAGACTTTGTCATGTTTGACCAGTCAGACTTTGTCATGTTTAGCAAGTTTTTAGACCAAAAAAAAAAACCTGTATCAGTCAAAATGTGAATCAGCAGGTCAAGCTTTTAAAAAACTGGTGAATGGCCAGAAAACTGCAATCAGTGCAGCTCTCGTTATTAAACTTTTACAAGGCACTGCTTTGGACACATTTTTTGTATTTTGAGAACGCTGCAATTATTTAAAGAAAAGTCTGATTATTGTAGGATCATCTTACACATGAGATTTGGTTTTCTTCAACTATTTACACAGATACTCAGTTATCTGTGAAAAGAGCTGACTGTGTAAAGTCTGTTTGGAATGAAAGCCTAACTCTGATTTTCCAACTCCCTCACTTCAAACTGAGCAGAGGAGTTCCTCATGGATGTGTGCTCAGTCCTGTCCTCTTTAGTCGTTTGGTGTGTGACTGAACTGATGGTGTTCATTAGCATCAGGATGAAACAATGTGAAGATCAGAGTGAGGATTTAACTGCAGAAGAAATTAGACCCTCAACTAAAATGATCCAGCAGTTCTTTAACATGGCTGTGGATTAACAACTAAAGTCCGAGAATAGTAAAGAAAGAGAGCTCACAATGTGAGCTTTTTTTAATTTTATGATTTTTAATTTCTTGTATAGCTTGTTGGATGGTGCTAAACAATAAAACATGTCTTTCCTTCCGTACTAACTTTCTACACCAGGTTAGATCTTCATACCGTTTGTTCCTTCCGCCTTGCTCTTGCTCAGCTCCCGCAGCTTATTAATGGTGAGTTGGCGGATCTCCCTCATGGCCATCACGATGTCGTAGTCTCGCTCCAGAGTCTGGCGAACCTCAACGCCCATCAAGGAGTCCAGGCCCAAGTCAGCTAACGAGGCGTCAGCATTCAGACAGTTCACATCCTGTACGCCTGTGAACGAAAGCCACACAAACACAGTGGGATTTATCCCTCATCACTTCAGGACAACAGACAAAATGAGACTCAAAAGAATAAAATCAAATTGTGGGAATCAAAAGCCATTCTTAATATTTCCAAGAATTATTCACCAAATATTCTTTTGATTCTTACCAAGAATGTGAGCGACAGCATCCACCAGGTCTTTCTGACCCCCTGCTTCACTCTTCACTGTTATTCTCTCTGCCAACACAAAGCTGGACATGACCGGCTGCTGTTGGTGCAAGAAGAAGTCCAGCACCTCCAGACAGGAAGTGATGCGTTGCGGTAGGGTTCCCCCGATCACTACATCGTTTCCACCCATCGTCTCCAGCACCACGCCCACATCTCCAATGGCGCCCCACTGAACTGCTAACCCGGCCAATCCGTCAAAGCGCCGCTTTTCACACACGCGTTCCATCACCGAGTTGGCGTAACCGTAGTTACTTTGGCCGGCGTTTCCACGCCCACAGCTGACAGAGGAGAAAGCCACGAAGTAGCTAAGGTCTGGACACAACTTTCTTGTTACTCTGAGGAGACATTGGACATAAATGAGACATTACTGCATCAGCAAGGAGGAAACAGAGAAGACAAAAAAAACAACCTTCTTCAAAATACAAAGCGGTGCAGTGAATCGTCTTACTTGTCCAGATTCATGGTCCCGTCACATTTTGGTTTGCTCACTTCAAGAAATAGCTCAGGCGTCAGATTCTCCAGCATGCCGTCTTTCAACACCTGAGGATCACAAAGCAAGAGTTTCACTGAAAAGCAGGAGAACTAAAGGAGAACAAAAAAATATCATTTTAAAGAACTACACAAACAGATCAAACATCAAAAATTGGACCATCAACCATAAAGTCACACACTGAACATTCACAGCTAATTATCAGGACTGCAACATGAAGAAGAAGCTAACAGAGGGTGTTACCATGGCGAGATGGAAGACTCCACCCACTGGGCCCAGTGCACGCGCCTCAGCGATCAGTTTCTCCGTCCCCTTCATTGTGCTGATGTCGCTGGTGGATACCACAACGTTCACACCCTGCTTCTGCCACTCGTCGACCCGCTTTGCCTGGTAACCTGACACAAGACCAGGCAGAACAACAAACTAATTACATGTGCATCTTCACTCCTCGTTGTTGTGCTCTGATCGGAAGATCAGGTTAATGGGTTCCATTGTGATGCACATTTCAGGATGAGCATAGAGTCCTGTGACCTCTGATCTTCACAAACAGAGAGCTCTGTTTCTGTCTCCTTTTTTCAAGAATGTTACCTTCTTCTATTGTGCCTTACCATTCCTGATGCCTGATCTAGATGTCAGCACCAGTTTGCAGGCTCCTCTCTCAATCAACCACTGAGCAAGCTCCAGCCCAAAGCCTCCCAGCCCTCCAGTGATGATGTAGGAATGGGATGGAAGGCAGAAAGTCCGACAGATAGCAGGAAGAAGCAGCGGGGATGCGGGCTGAATGGCTCCGCCCTTTTCCGCAGAACGGATCTGTGTAAAGACAAGAGATGTCCAGATGTCACACAATCAGAGAAAAGTATTAGTAAAAAAACTACAGTTCTTCCAAAACCCGACAGTCTGATATCTCTGAAAGTCAAAGAGCACCAACCTGCAGGACAACTTTGCCGATGTGTTTTCCCTGGGCCATGTATCTGAATGCTTGCTCAACGTTGTCCCTCTGAAAAACTGTAGTCCTTAAAGGCTGGACTACACCTTCCTCAATGCCTTCCTTCAACAGCTGGGACACTTCCTCCCACTCCCTGTTGCCTTCTTCGAACAGAGCATCCAGCAGGATGCCATGAAAGGCCACATTCTTCAGGAACAAAGCCATACCTGGGGACGGCCCAAAACAAGACAGCTGACACTCAACCGGCTCAGAGTCCTGACAATTAGCCAAACACCAGCAAGCTTCCCTTCACAGGCAGACCCATACGTCTCATTTGTAATGACTAACAATGTGTTGACTGTATTCTTTATAGTACTTGGAGTGTCAGAACTTTCCGTACTGACCCAGTGGATTGTTGTTGGAGAGGTCGTATTTTCCGATCTCCAGGAATCGTCCGTGTCGGGCGACACAGCGAATGCTGGCCTGGAGCTTCTCCTCAGCCAGAGAGTTTAAAACCACATCCACGCCTGAAACACGCAGAAAACACGACTGAGTGGGGATTTCTCATTGGCTCATACACAAGAAGAAAATCACAAGAAAGATGGGGGCTTTTCCCCCTTTTCACCAACAGATGATAATGAAAATAATATCACTAAAGAGATAACAGAGATTGTGCTGAATTTGATTGTCTACTGTATTTACTATGCCAGCCTTAGGAGGCTGAACGAGGGAACTGCAACAATTAACAGCCAAAAAATAAGAACAACCTAAATTCCAGACCTATATCTAATCTTCCTTTCTTACCTAAAACTCTTTATAAACTAATAGCTAATCAAGTATGTGAGCATCTAAACAGTAATGAAGAGTTTGGAGAGTTCCAGTGAGGTTTCAGAGCTGACTGAAACAGCTCTGTTGAAAGTAATATTCTCCTGGCCTCAGATAATGGACGTATGTCTGTTCTGTTCTGTTCTGGTTCTGTTAGACTCCAGTGTGCTTTTGAAAATTCTAAATAATTAAATATGTTTCAAAATGTTCTCAATATCATCACATTCCATTTTGTTGTTGTGTCTTTATTGTGCATCTAAACAGGAGGACATGGTACCCATTGAAAGTGGAGGAAGTGTTCACTGGTCCAGTTCCAGCTCTATGCTTAACCAAAAGACTGAGGAGAGAAAACCTGACCGACTGACAGCAGAAGTCTGAGACGAGCCGAGTTCCACATTCAATAAGATTCAGAATAAACAGGGACCAGATTCCACTTTAAGGTAATAAACAATCTTTAGGTCTCTGACTCAATGTGTGCAATAAAATATTATTTCAGCTTCATGTAATGTGAAGCTGAGTGTCTTTTCAACACTCCTGCCCTTTGTGTAAAAACAGAGCTAATAGATCAAAATGTTAAAATTCGTTCTTTTTTTACAGAGCATTTTATCACACCTGTTTCATAATGACAATTTTCTCCAATGTATGATAGAAAATGAGCAATTTTCTAAATTCTACAGACAGCATAACATAAATGATGTTCTCAATATCATCACATATTGCTCGGTGTGCTTAATAACAGGATTTGTGAACATGAGGTAGGTGCTGACCTTTGCCCTTTGTGTGGAGCAGAACATGCTGCTCAAAAGACAGATCCCTGGAGTTAGCGAATGATTCTGCAGACAGCTGAGGGAAGCGCTCCTGCAGGTAGGCCCTCTTCTCTGCTGAGCCTAATCAATCCAAACAGTAAGATATTCATCAGAGCCTTGTGAGGTTACTATAGTAACATAAATAATACTTTTTAATAAAAAAAAACCCAAAATATTTAAAGAGAAAGAAATGCAATCAGAAAACTTGACAGAAGGACAGAGCACGGTGTGCTGACCGACGGTGGTGAAAACTCTGCAGTTCTTGCTGAGTGCTATGGCGATGGCAGCCTGGCCGACGCCTCCAGAGCCCGAGTGGATCAGGACGGTTTCACCGGGGCGGAGCCTGCCCCGCACCACCAGAGAGTAATACGCTGTGGCATACACCACTGGCACCGAGGCCGCTTGCTCCATGGTCCTGCTCAGACACACACACACACACACACACACATACACACACACACACACACACACACACACACACACACACACACACACACACACCACACACACACCACACACACACACACACACACACACACAGCTATGAGAAAAATGACATGTCCTGTAAAAATAAACCAACCTTTTCCCTGCACTATGACGTTAGATCAGACTGAACTGTTCCTGTTTCAGGTCAGCTAGGATTTCCATAAACAATTCTTAGCCCCTTGTGACTAATCTGCTGGTGTACTGAGGGACGTCGTCTCTTAAAGACCTGAATGTCACCAAACCTTAACTTCACTTCCAGGCTGATATACTGAGACAATGCATCAGTATTTCTACATGATGTTCTTTCCTTGTATCATTACTCTGTGAGGTGCACCAGCCCTCCTGCAGTAATACACCCGCCCCTGTGCTTCACTGCCTCCAGGATGGCAAACTTCCTCCTTTCTCCTCCACATGTAACAACGGTCAATATGGCCAAACAGTCCAGTTTCTCTTAAAGGTTCTTGTGGCACTAGCCACCTTTATACATTAACAGCTAGACAGGAAGAAGGGCAGAGAAAGAAGAGGAGGAAATGCAGTCAACTGTCTGTGGCACGTAACTCCACCAGGTGTTTGCTAATTGCTGCTACTGCTAGTCTGAAGGAGCTACAGAGGGGAAGGTGCAATAAGAGGTGCCCTGTGAGGCAGAAGCTTACAGTAGGAGGAGCTTTGTGGAACAAGCTTTATGGGACCAGGGTTTTATATATCCCTGACTGGTTGCCATGGGAGATTGATCGATTCCTCAAACATGCAAGAAGGAACCTCCATAATAATAATAATCTTATGCTGAGGGGAACTGTGTAAAAAAATGAAATAAACTCTAGGTACACACCGAGTGTGAGCAACAGTCTGAATATGTTTTTAAGGTGGGGATGACTTTAGAACATGACGCAAGACTCAAAAATGTGGATTCTACAAAATAAGACCCTTTACGTGAACAGGTGTAAATAAGCCCCTCGGTCAGGTCTTTAGAGAACATTGTGGAGGTCAAACAGAGCCACTGGAAATGTTGGCAGTTTAACATTTATCAGCAGGAGTGACACTAACCAGCTGAGGGGAACTTCCCACAGGAATCGTTTATCAGCCTCCACAGCCGTAGCCAAACCTTTAGCAGGCAGCAGCCCCATGACACGCTGACAGCTGGAATCACGACCAGAAAACTCCATCCCCAACAGGCACTGCTGCAGAGCCATGTCCCCTAAACATACAACAACAAGGAGGAAAAATGACTTCTCTGAAGGGAAAGCACACAGATAGGATGGAGTGGGTTATAGTAATACTTTCTGGACATGTTCAAGAGGAACTATAGAGGATCTGCACCAATGTGATGAATTTATAAAAACTAATAACTGGTCCTCACACCATGCAGGAGTACCTGCCATTAGATCATAACTGGTCTTTTTACATCTCTGTGGAGAACTCTTGACCCATTCTTCTTTGGAGAATTGTTGAAATTCAGTCACAGGATCTTCCTGAATCATTGGCCTAGTCAAAGTCACGTCACAACATCTCAACTGTTCTTTTCTTCAGTAAATGTGAGATGGGCCCTTCTGTTCTTTTGGGTTTGAAACTTTCACACATCTTAATTTGAAAATATTTTCCAGATGAGCTCATGCTACAGAATTTCAATATTATGAAGATGCTTAACCTCCATAATAATAATATAATGTCAGCGTCATCCTCCATAACTGTAACTAATGAAGGGCAGTGATGTTGATAGCTACCTGGGATAGCGTCTGGTGGCAGTTTGCCAGTAGCCAGCATAATGTCTCGGAAATTAAGTGCGCTGTAGTAGACGTGACACGTCTGCAGGGAGGGTCTGCTGGGGTCAGAGCGGCGGGGGGGGGAGGCGATCCAGCGCAGGGAGGACAGGTCACCTCGAGTTAACACGTTGATGAATGCAGACTCTGTCAGTTCCTCCTTCAGGTCTGGAAAACAGACAAACAATAGCTGAAGGGACAAAACAAAAAAATTCTTCAAATCTGGTGTATTGTGAAATAGGTCATATTTTCCAAGCCACTGATACACATTAGGAATGTCTATTACTACTGTAAACCTAAAATTATGGATACAAGGAGCAACAATGGAAGAAATTGCTGCTGTTATTTATATGAAGCAAGTTTTGATAAACTGATACCGTGGGAGACAAGTTGGTGTCTGAAAGTTCCCCACTGTCCATCTCTGAAGACATTCATGACCAGGTCTGCTTCCAGCACCGAGTCCAGGGACTTCTGGCCCGGCTGGAGGCTCGGTGCCGCTGAGGAGCCGTTCAGGTTGGACACAAACATGCAGCTGGGCACAAAGAAGAAGAAACAAACACATTTAGCACAGATAAATTCAGACAGATAAATAAACCCCAAGCTTAGGTTTTATCTGCCTCACCGTATCCGCTCTCCCCCAGGCTCCTGCCGCAGGCAGTTTACCATCCCAACAATCCCACTGTGAGCCTGAGAGGCAGTCAGACACACAGTGTGGTCCGAGGAATCCGACAGGATCTCCTGGAACACAGAACCACATCAGAACCAGATCAGAACTGGATTCAGAACCAGGTCAGAAATCTGACCACAGTCCTGGTCAGATTTCTCGGGTCAGTAATACCTTGGCTGTTATTCTACTACAAACAGAACCACAAACGTTACAACGAATAAAAAAGGAAAACATTTGATCTGGCTTTTCGTTTTTAACAGGATCCAGAAAATGTTCTTTTACATATCAATAGTGAAGTGAAATTCTGGAACAGGAGAGCTAACAAATGAAAACATCTGCAGATCTGAGGGCACATCAGTGAAGAAAACCAGCTGGAACCCACCTTGAGTTTTTCTACCCACAGAAAGTCGGTGCTGTCCACAGGCAGGTAGATGGCCTGCTTGCTGGGAGACTTGCGGCGGCAAAGGAAAATGACGGAGCCATAGAAAGACTTCCTGACAGCTACCAGGGCCAGGTTGGCCTCAGAGAACACGCTTTCCCACTCAGCCTGGAGGAGAAATACAAAGAAAACACAGTAAGTCGTCATCAGAAGGAAGGAACTTCTTGAAAAAGCTCTATTATATTACTAATTAGTATTTTTATGTCTCACTATTTTTATGACATCAAAATCATTACTATCATAAAATGTTTTCCATGAACCTGTGAGAGCAGGCTACATTGCTCGTTGCCCTGGGTGATGCTGGTGAGGAAAGCCACCGTCTCTCCCAGAGTCTGGTCCTTCAGCAGGGTGTGGATCAGAACAAAGCCCTGCTCTCTGGCCCCGGAGGCCAGGTTAGCCACAAGCTGTCTGGGGTCCGTCCTCAGGGGACCCCATGCGTGGTTACACACCACCAGGTCCGCCCCGGCAGCTATCCTCCCTGGAGCCGGCTCGCTAAGAGGGTTCCACTGCGCTGAAGCCACAGCAAGCTGCTCCAGCGCGGCTTCATGGGCGGACAGCAGATCCAGGTGTGTTGCTGTGGCAGTGTAGTCCACATGTAGCATTGGCTGAATGTTGAGGAGGGGAACCACACGGGAGAAAAGCTGGCCATCGTTTGCAAAAGCCTTTGGGTGTAAGAGAGAGGAACAGGTTATGGGATGCATGGATCACGATGAAAACTGCTCATATCCAGAAAAATCTCAGATATTACCTCCAGGACTTTGATCCTCCCAGGCGTACAGTTCTCCATGCTGATGTCCAGGCAGTGACGGAGAACAGGATCCTCCAGCAGGCCATGCATCAGGCCATCCTGCAGCAGGCAGGCCTTCTCCTGGACAAGGACCTGCTCCAGCTCTGACTGGAGGTTTCCGTTGAGCTCCAAGCCACACAGCAGGCTGAGCAGGCGCAGCAGGCAGGGCGCCGACGCCTCCTGGTCAGGTGGAAAACCCAGCAGGTCGCCGGGTAACCCAGGAACGGCCAGCTTCACACCATGAGGAGCCAACTTCAGCTGTAGTGTGTGAATCAAAGCTGCAGAGAAGATGTAAAATAAATCATAACACAACTTCTCCACTTCCAGTCTTTGAAGAGGCAGTATTATGTGGTTTCTAGGCACAGAGTGCAATTTTATAACACAATCAAATAACTATGTTACCTTCTGTTGTTATGAAAATGCTGAATATGTCAAATATAATATATTGATATAAAATTTGATATAAGATTTGACTTTGTAATTTAACACCTTGAAATTGGGCCTCTATCACTTTAAAAACTCTGCTCTTTCTGAAACTCCGCCTTCAGGAAGTCATGGCAGCACAGCTCCTCTATTAACCGTTTACTATTGTTTCACCAGCGTTGCACTGAGAAGTAGTTCCTATAATGAGCCCAGCAGATGCTGTTCCACCAGGTCTTTGCTAATTGCTAATGGCTAGTCTGAAGGAGCTGAGTGGGGGAGGTGTTGCTCTGTGAGGCAGAAGCTTGGAAACTTAGAAACTGGCGCTTCGAGGAGGAGGCAGTATGTCCATCAGCTGTTTTGCACAGCTGAATTGTTGCCATGGGGACTAAAGGATTTCTCAAACATCCATGAAAAAAAATCAAAACATTACTCCATATGTTTTGGATGAGGAAATAAAATTATAACATGATGTAAAGCTCAAAAACATTGATCTTACAAAAATACTGCCTCTTTAATGTTTCCATAGAGACTGACTCAAGCTTTTCATTCATTATATTCTGACAAAGCCATCAGCTACACCATCACACAAACAGACAGATATTATACAATATTTACCTTTGCAGATGTTGAGCTGCTCCATCAGGCTCTGATTGGTAGCCAGACATTCTGTCATCACATGCGGGACAAACACAAACTCCTCCAGAGTGGGGGGGCTCTGCTGCTGCTGTCTCCGGGGGGCCACAGTGGCATGCAGACCGGAGATCTGGACTCCGCCGGCAGCAATACTGTCCAGGCAGCGGCTCACGTGGACGTCAACAGCTACGGCAATGAAAAGGTCAATGATGAGCTCAGCTTTCAAGACACAAACGGACAGCTGACCTTCTGTCTGGAGAGAACCAGAAAATCTGCTGGTTGACTGACTGGTCAGACTTTCTAGGAGTTGATGACTTAGAAAAAGATAAATGTGATAATACATTCCCATAATTAAGAGAGTGTCACTGGTTTAAATAGTACATTCATCAATAAGGGAGAAAGGTAGGGAATAATTGTAGAACCTGATGTGTTTCACATTAAGTATCAGCAGTAAACCAATAATTTACCTTGATTACAGGTGATTTGTTGGTTCACCTTTAATATGAAGGCTGGGGCTAAGCATGAATTTTTTATAAGAATTTTGATTTATTGTTGTCTCTATAAATTCCAATTAATTATGTTTAATACCTTCCCAAACTATTCATCTTATCAGGATTGTTATTTCTACTAAATTTTCCACTGTGTGTTTATTGATAATAAAAATTTGAAAAGATGACCAATTCCAGTTACTGTGTGCAGTTTAGTCATACAAATCAGTTTTTTATGTGTCAGGTGTCCGGATTACAAATGGAAGTGTTTTTCAAGAGCAGTATTTGTGTTTGTGATGCTATGATTTCTGTGCCATGCAGTCACAGCCTGAAAATATGTAATACCTAAAAAACAAGAAAGAAATGTTCTTCAGAATAGTACCACAACATATTGTCCATATCACCAGTTAAGTTAGTTAAGACCTAAAAGTGTCAAGTTTGAACATAGCAGTTACACTCACCTTGCAGTTCATCAGCATACTCGCACACTTTGTCCAGGTGGACAGCAGGATTGATGCGTACAGAGCGGATTCTGGTCGGCAGGCGCAAACTGCGACCTGGTAATCCAACCACCATCATCTGCAGCATGGTGTCCAAAAAGGTCACCCAGTTTCCTGTCCACTGCAGCTTTCCACTGTCTCCTGGAAACAAACAGATCAAATATGATATAGTGAGGTACACGGCGGAAAATTTTATTTTCTACCGTAAAGCTTAATAGCATTTGCAGAATGAACTTGTCTAAGGGAGTCACAAGTGTTTCTCTAATCTTCTGTCCAAAAATCTTCGTAAAAAATTGTGGAGTCAAACCCTCGTGCGCAGCGTCTAATTTCCAGATCATCTTGTGCGTGATTTTGCTCCAGCAATCCTGACTCAAATCTCTCCATTGTGAATCCCACTAGGGTTCTGCAGAAATCTGCTCATGATCAACTTATTGAAATAAGGTGAAGCAAAGGATTGGGGAGCACTGATAAAAGACAAGAAAGTTGGGCACAAAGATGGAACAGCCCAAACTGGATATAATTTGGTACCAGTGCCGGTTTATTGTATGCAGGGATCTGCCACAATTGATATGGCTCGCCATCTCGCCTGCGACTGTGGTCTTGTCATGGATTGGTTGAAATGTCCTTATAGGAGGAAGAATCCATGAACCAATCAACAAAGGCAGTTTGCTGCCAATCAAATCACTTGTGTGCACTATCTGGATGCTTTTTTGGAGTCACCATGAAGCGTCTTAAGTAGTTTAAACTGAAGAGTTTAAGCTCTTCAGTTTAAACTACTTAAACTTAAAGAGTTTTGTGCTTGAAGTCGATTTTAAAAACTCAAAGTGAAGTCAAATATCTTTAAGGCAAATTTAAATTTATTTCCATCACTACAGTTTTATTCTTAAATTATCAGTCAGAGCATCACAAAAAATAATTTTTAAATCCTAAAGAATGCAGGGATACTGTTTTACCTTCACTGCTGGACTCCAAGATGCCTTGGAAAGCCTTTCCATAGTCGTAGCCACGCAGTCGCAGTTCTTTATAGACGTCATTTGACTTAAGTTTCATGTTGGAGTCATTCTTTTTGTCAGTTTTCTGATTTATTTGAATATGGAATGATTGAAGGTCTGCATCCTCAAGGATGTCTACTTTACCTGAAATGAGATGATATGTAAACCGCAGAAGTAAAAGATCTTGATTGTGTGTATTTGCTAAAAATCTGAAACATAACAAAGAGGCAAACAGCTCTCACCACTGACAACCAGGTTTCCATTTTCTGAAACCTCAAACTTGTTGGTGGCTGGCATGAGGTTCACCTCCAACTGAACAGAGCCTGCATGAAGAGAAGTTTGAAGATTGTCAAAATGGCTGACATTTTGACAGAACTGATACAAACAAAATATCTGTCCTTTCAAGTATCCATTTGAATCAAAATCTTCTGAATTTGGTTCACAAACACTTAGGCCCTCCCGTTTTAAAGCACCTGCACCAAAAAGTTTGAAAAGAGGAAATGGCACTGAATTGGAACTTGTAGTACTGTCACAATCCTGAGACAGTGAAACAGCTTAACATGGATAAGTGAGTCATTGATCCTTGACTGGTATCCATGCTGAGCCCTGCTGGTCTCTCACCAGTCTTTGGCAGGATGGTAGCCCTGTGGATCTTCACGTCCTCAAAGCTGATTGGAGTGGATTCCATTATGATCCCACGACTCCTGACCAAAGTGCGCCAGGCCAGCACAAGGTAACCCGTTGCTGGGTAGAGAAAGCGTCCATCGATGCAATGTTCAATGAGATAGTTGTCTGATGACTCAGAGTTTATCTCTGTTTCAATATGAGAGACAATGGAGGAAAAAAAAAGAATCATAAGAAATCTAAATGAGCACACAAGCAATGAAGCTGAACACTGCGTTTTTACCAATATTATAGACGGCAGTGGATTTAGATCCTCCTGAGCTGTGGGAAAAATGTTCTACTTTGGGGACATCCCAAACCTGGGAATGGTCCCACTGCACTAAGGGAGAGATCATCGGAGTGCCAACTGGGACAGGACAGCTCACCACTGGGTACAGGCTGTTAGCATCCAAGTTGATCCTAAACAAGTGTGATTAAAAAAATTCAGACCAAAACAATCCATGGTGTGACAGCAAAAATTAGGAGGCAGAAAATAAGCTGAAATCCAGAAGTCATACTAACAGTAAGGTTTGAGGTGCCCACTCACCCATTCATGTAGATTTTGCCAATGTTTGAGAGGAAGAACTCCAGGTTGTTAGCATGGCCTCTCTTCATTAAAGGAAGGATGGAACATGTTTGCTTCAGGCTCCGCTTAAGGATGGCCTAAGAGGAAAACATTGGTTTAGTTATTATTTATATCTCTACTAATCCAAGATCAATCAATTTAGAAAATTACACATGCCATGGATACTGGTGTTTTGAAAGGTGCTCATTATGTGGATCAAAATTAGAGAAACTAAAGATTTTTTGAGGTATTGAAGTATTTTTCCTGTTTTGTATTGAGCATGTATAGTGGGTTCAGTTATGTGGAAATCCCGGTGTTCTACTACATTATATCATTGTCTCTTACTGTTTGTTTTTTAATATAAAAATATCAATATGCTAAAATGAATGCTCTATGCCTACTCCTAGTTTTTATGTTTTGTGCTGCTGGTTTTTGCTGAGATCAATTAGTGTATGCGCCAGTGTTAAATGTGTGAGAAGGTGTGTTATTTTTCTATTTTCTATGCCTCTAAAACAAAAATCTAAAGTCTTTGATGACAATGTTTGTAGGCATTAGCTTGACCATTGTTGAGGAAGAAAATTTGTCCTTCAGGAGACACAGGGTCTGGATACCGGTGCAAAGGATATATCTACTTCTTAAGTGCGAGTTTAATGTGATGCAGCGTTTTAGATCAATTCAGCCAGCTGGGTAAGAGCTGACAGGACAGATAAGGGGCTCTGGCCAGTTTATCTGTTGCCACTCTGACAACACACACACAGTATGGTTTTCTTGGTGCTTACTGTTCAGAAGGGTGTCTGAATAATCTTATTTGATTATGAAGTATGAGTAATAGATTATCTATCTAGGAAGTCATATTATGGATTGTATGAAACACATTAGTGGACAGGAAGATGTATGTTTTTGATGAGTGAATAACATTATAACACATTTATAGCTCAGAAAAGTCAATTCTACATAGTATTGCCCCTTTAAGAATATTTAGGTATTCAACAGCTATTTTAAAGACATAACTACTCTTCTTTTAACATATCTGGATTTGATTAAAACTTATGTAAAAAGTAAGGATGCCATAGCAATGCTTTTTATAGTGAAGTTCTGCAGTAACCTCTTTTAAAAAGACATTATATTATTTATTATTTTACACTTTATCTACCATTAGTTAGGAACCATTAGCAGACCACAAACATATTCATAACTCCATCAAATAAAAAGCATCAGCAATCTAATCCCCTCGTGAATGATGATCTACTATAGACAAACGGCATGAAGCTACTATAACTGAATACAGTATTTTACATTAGATGGAAGTACCTGCAGCAGAGCATGAGGTGCGATCTCCACCACCACAGCATTGTCAGGCACCAGACTGAGGGCCTCCTGAAACAGCACAGGGCTCAGCAGGTTGTTGACGTGGTACTCAGCTGAGCTGAGCATAGCCAGAGGAGAGTTCCACTCAGACTGAGGGATGCTTGTGCTGATCCACCGAGGGGAGCGCTCCCGTGGCTCCTTGATCACCTTTAACATCACAGACAGCAGTAGATATTGATGTGAAACACACAGACTGAAAAGCAGTTAATGAAGAAACCTGACATAGGCGAGAGTCGTTTAAGGTACAGTATCTTATGCGGATATAATCAGAAAATATATATGCTGGCATGTAGCATATTATGGCACAGAGTTCAGTGCCATTGTAACTTATCAATTAGTGTATTTAAAAGTTACGTTCTCATATATCTACCAATGAAAACCAACAGAACTGGATTTATTTCGCATTCAAAAATGTCTTATTGAATAAGAAATTATGTCAAAGTCAGGTAAAGATTAGGAAACATTTTATTTATGAAATAAACTTATTTCCACACATTTACTGAATGTAAACTTACATAACACAGACAGATAGAAAACAAAAGCTAAAACTACATCTATTGACAAATATCACTTGGGATTTGGACACAATAACAGACAAATATTCAGCAATTCAACTGATTAAACCCCAGGAGCTCTTAGAGGTTTTTCAAAGTTAGTGTGAAAAGGAGTCTTATTCCTTCTCTAGTTTCCAGCTCTCACTCCGAAACAGAGAAGACCAGAGTTCAGAAAGAAAACAGGGTCCAGTTACATCTCACTGGACACATTCAGTCTCACTGTGGCCAACAACACAGGTCCGATTGTCCTCTGATCTAGGTCACCGGTTGGCCAGAGCCCAACACCCCACCTTCGTCTTTTGAGATGGAGGAATATTGGCACAAGTCCTTTGAGTTGGCCCTGACGCCACACACCATTGGACCATTCTAGAACCACTGGGTTCTGATCCAGAAATCAGTCAAAAAAGGAGAAAGTCTACAAGACAGAAGATGTCTCTGGCTGCTTATTGGCAAAAACAATAAGCAACAAGGACCGGTCCTTACTACCCTGGCAGTCCATTTCACATCAGGAACACCAGAGCAGTCAGCAGATGGAATCAGACCAGAGTTGTGTGATATAACGCTCAGATAACTTTATCAACAAGAAGACCTGATTTTCACACCGGACCGGAAAAACATTCTCCCAAATCTTTCATCTCTCAAGACAATAACGCCTCGAATATGCATTCAAAGATGAAAGTTAGCATTGAGATCTGATTTAAGGTTTAAAACTATTCAATTCAGATTCATATCATTAAAGGATGTATCATATTCAGTTAAAACTGTAATTAGTGCTTCAATTGGTCATTCTGATTCAACTGCCTACCTCTGTCCAAAGAAGCAAAGCAACAATCGGTGCCTTAATGGACAAATAAACTGAAAATCAACTTGTTTTCTAGGCAAACTGTCTAAATTATCGTAGTCTCTATGTTGTTATGTAAATGGTGAAATTTTCATTTAAATTTGTTTAGTCCTGCAATATTCGACATGGGTCGAACGGTGGGTATCGCAGTTGAATTTTCTTATTGGTTACATTGGTAGATTCTCAATGGCGTTACAAAACACATAGGCCATTTGTAATACAGTCAAGTCAATAGAAGAAGAAAAAAGATTTTTCCATTGTAGAGAAGAGAACTCTGGAGACTGAACAGCATGCCCCGAAGACGGCTAGGAAATCTCACCTCACAGGTGCCTTACAATCTCAGGAAATGTGTAGTGCAGTTGCTCTAAGACAACTTATATGTTGGATTCTTCTGACTTCCAGCAAGACTGCGTACCTTCTTCAGAGCAGCCAGCAGGTTAGGAGCGATGGAGGCCATGTAGTGGGAGTGGAAAGCCACGCCGGCACTGCGAACCTCCTTTGCAAACACTCCTTCCTCTTTTAGTTGGGACACAAACGCATGGACTGCTTCCTGCAGAAAAACACACACACCACTAGCTAAGAAAAACATCCACAGGCTGCGAGATTAGCATCTTCTTTCTGTAGCTATTGTGTATATTGATGTGGAAGAGACAGCAGGAAGTAGCTTATGGCACTGGGTTGGTTTATGATTCTGAACTGAAATCATTGCCATTGCCCTTTTTATTATGTTATTATGTTAAATTCATGAATAAAAATATTCATAAAAATTAACAGGATGTGAACAAGATGCTTCTCCAGTAGTTTCATACTTTTCCTTTTCCATACAATACTGCTACACTCTTCTATTTGAAAAGCTCTTTATAAATAAAATTTGACTGATACAAGACTCAGTTTTAATCTGTGAGCTGAGAACCAGTTTGTGTAAACTTGCACAACGCTGGTTTCAGCCTGTTTGAACTTTCTCCCATCTGTGCTTGCAACACAACACAACAGCTGTACTTACAATGAGTTCTAACTTGGCGCTGCAAGCTCTCACAATACACTCTCTATACAATGTGGTCACTCCCTGGCCCAGAGCCAATTCTAGTCGAACAGGTTAATAAACAGTCACTCTTAACAGGGTATAGAGAGAGTGCATTCCATCCTTAGGGTAAGTTAATTGCTCAGATGATAAACATCTTTGTTCAAAAATAGGTGCATTTCCAAAAATCAGGTTTACTAATGGAACAATTTTGCATAACAAGAACATTATCAGACTTTGTACGTTCACTCAGCACGTAGCCTTAGCTCGTGACATTTAATGGAGGAATTTGTTAAGCCTTCGGGTTTATTCCATCTCACTACAATTACCTAACCTGTTTATTGTTATCTGTTAAACACTGGCGCCTTATTTTAATCACTGACAACCTACTGGAACTTTTCCAAGGAGAGGTCAAAAGGAAACCTATCTAACTGATACTTTAAAGACTCCTTGACCTACACGGTTTAACAGACTAAACAATACTAGTGTTAAATAACTAAAGAATTCAAATAAAATTCTTAAAAGAAATAATAACACAATTTTTACTTCACAGGTGAACAAACTCGGCACATTGAGTTTGGAATGTGTCTTTAATTATAGCGCACAAAAACAGTCGAATATGAACAAGCAGAAAAAAATCTGCATTAGAACTGTATGAAAAAAAAAGAAAGCCTAACCTGAGGGCCTGAGATGGTAACAGAATCCTCAGCATTGTGGCAGGCAGGAACGACTCCCTGAGGACACTGAGCGATGCACTCCTCCCAGGTCAGCCCTGGAAAAAACAGGAGCTTTACTCAACTGTTAAATGTTGCTAACCAAGACACAACGCAAAATCTGACCAGCATGACAACATATACTGAGATCTTATTTTACTGCCGTACAGAGAACAACATCTATATTTGATAGTGCAGACTGAAGTAATGTCATTTACAGTTTTTATTAAAACTTCAAACAGAATCGATCATTTTGAAACATCAAAGAGATTCAACCCAAAAATTAAGATCTTGGACAAATTAGGTAACATCACTGCCATGTTCTGAAATCTAATCAAACATTAGATGTGTTTAATGTTTCCAATGGGTTTCAGGAACTGGGTAGCATCCAGAGGGAGTTAGGCAAGGTTCTGTTATGTAAATCGTCTGTGGGACAAACAGCTCTCCGTCGTGTGAAACTGCCTCCTGCAGAACTAAAACTGAACTATGACTGGCTGCAGATGAGCTTGAAGCTGACCGGTTTATTAAGAAGGATCCAGATATCTGATATTCCCGGTGGAACTGGAAGTCCTTATTGTTCTGATGGTTTTTGATGACTGTAATGTTTTTCTTTAGTTTAGCATTTTAATTTTAAACCTATAATCATATTTGTTTCATGGAACCAGACACTCATCCCTACAAACATAAATCCCATCCATCCATTCCATCCATCTACTGTCTTCTGGTGGTGGAGCTACTGTCTCTTTAAAAGCTCCTGCTCTTTCTGAAACAATTCCTACAGGAAAGTCATCACAACACAGCTTCTTAATTAAATGTGTGCACATTAAAAGCAAAGTGAAATCAGAGTTCAGTTCCTTGTTTGTACTCACAAAATTGGCAAATAAAGTTGGTTTTGATTCTGTCATGCTCTTTAAAATGAATAAGAATCTTTTTATAGTTAGTTTCGACCTCAGTAAGCTTTAAAATGAATCCAGATTGTTTCTACCAGGTTTAAATCTCAGTAATTTGTGCTTCAGCCATCATTGTATTGGCTGTTGTGGAACCCAGCCTCTATCAGTGGAATCATAGACAGTAGACAGAGCTTATAGCTAGATTCCTTACCAACTGCAGCCATGCCTCCTGGAGGTAGGTCGGCCACTTTGATGCAGTGACCTCTCCAGTATGCGGCCAGAATGGCCTCGCTGTGGCTGAAGGAACCATCAGCGTATCCGCAGGCCAGTTCTCCCACAGAGTGTCCTATGATGCCATCAGGCTGAAGACCCATCTTCCTGAGCAGATCGATGAGGGCTATCTGTAAACACCATGCACAAACCCAACACAGTTAAGAGCTGCTGCTCGTAGTTCACACACTGAAGGAGAAGAAAGGCTGTGTACCTGTATGGCAGCAAGACCAACGAAGGCGTTGACAGTGTCCTCAAAAGTGGCATCATCAGCTTCACTGAGCAGCTGAGACACAACCAGTCCAGTGTCCTTCAGAGCAACGTCAGAACGCAGAATGGACTCTCTGAATTCCGCCAGCTGCATGAGACTACGGCCCATACCTGCCCACTGGGTTCCCATACCTGTGGACAGATGCTAGTCTGAATCCAGCAACTACAATAAGAAAAAACACCTTCTGTGTGTCTGGGGAGTTCAAATAAACTATAAGTTTTTTGCCTTTTCTCCTTGTGCTGAATCACACTGAGCTTTCTGCTCAACATTTTTGGTTGAATTGCTGGAACTTAAAGTGTACATTAAGGCAAAGGTTTGATTGTTTTGTCTTGGTTTTCACTAGATGTACACATCCTTTGAATTACAGTATTTTTTTACAGATGAAATTCTAAACTGTGCCCAAGCATGAACAGTTTATGCTTGGGCATTATGATGGGGTACATTAGTTCTTCAGTGCCTCAAACACAGCGACACTGGCTTTAGCTAGAACAGGAATGTTGTGATTACATGTTGACACTTGTCTGATTGTATGACTAAATGAACGTGAATGATGACTCACCAGAACAGATGTACCACAGTGGTCTGGCTGAAGTTTGCAACAACTGAACCTCCTTTACGTCATTCTGAGACCCGAGAACAACGTAGCCTCTGTAGGGCATGCTAGCAGCCGGGATTTCTGACACTCTGCTTAGCAAAGATAAGAAGTTTTCATCGCTGCTGTGTTCCTTCCCCTTCTGGATGACCGCGTTCACTGCAGCCTCGGTACGGCCGCACACCGGAAGCATTCTGGGAACCGTCCGTGGAGTAGGTGAGTTTGTTGGTTTGCTAGCTGGGCGAAGAATGACATGAACATTGGAGCCCCCGAATCCAAAAGAGTTGATCCCTACAATGCCCCCCCGAACGGGAATGGGCCGGTCAATGACCTGGACCCGACCGTCAGTAAGGGCAGGAATGTCAGGATTAGGGTGAGTAAAGTGCAGATTAGGAGCCCAAATGCCTCGCTCCAGAGACAGAACCACCTGAGGAAAAGATGAAAAAATCTGTGACTGCAAAGGAGATGACAACACTTCAGAATTTCTAACCCAAGCTTCTTATTTATCCATCAGCCCACAAAGAGGAAGTCAACCAAAAAGATTTGAGAAACTTGTTTGGTCTCTCTGACATTGATCAGAGGTTTCCCATATCAGTCTCAAGCCTGATGGTAAGAGGCTTTCTGATTTGCTCACCTTTGCTAGGGCAGCCAGACCTGAAGCAGGTTCTGGATGGCCCATGTTGGATTTGGTGGAGCCAATAAGCAGGGGCTCTCGCTTTGCCTGACAGAAAACACCGACAATCCCGTTCACCTCCTGCGGGTCTCCGACCTGCAAGCAGACAGCAGAGATGCAGCAGAGACAAGATAATCCTTGTGAAATATTCGAGACAGATGAGAAAAGAACAGTGTGTGGTGATGGAACATCTAAACAGATTATGACACCACAAGTTGTGTATTGACCTTTGTTCCAGTGCCGTGGGCTTCGATGTACTCAACTTCTTCAGGGGATACATTGGCCTCGTTATAGAGCGAACGAACCAAACTCTGCTGCATGTCACCTGAAGGAAATGTTACACCTGGGGCAACAAGAAGCCTATTAGAAAAGCGAAAAGAAAACCTGGCAAATAAAGTGAATACAACATATTCAGTCCACTTACTAAAAGCATTTAAATCATGAAGCTCTAATAATTTGCCTTTATTCATACATCAATGTATTTTATCCAGTATATAATGTTTCAGAGTCTGTAAATTTACAGACTTCAGGTGGGTCTACTGACCTTGTTCTTTATATCCATCCGTATTGTTGCCAGCATTGATTACAGTTGCGTAGACTCTGTTTGTTGCAGATCGCTTGGTCAGCAGCACCACGACTGCTGCTTCAGAACGGCAGTATCCATTTCCTAATTAATAAAAAATGGTGACGAGACAACGAGTACAGTCATATACTAGTCACTTGAATTTGTAGGAATGACTCAATTTAATTTTGACTAACTTTTTAAAAATATTTTTGGGCCAAATTCGTCTACCTGATGCATCGAAAGACTTGCAGGTCCCCTCAGGACTCAGCATCCCCAGTTTCATGAACTGGACTGAAGTATTTGGCTTAAGCAGCAAGTTGACTCCTCCCACCAGGGCAGCATCGATGTGGCCCTGCCGAATCGCATGAAAGGCATTTTCCAGAGCCAGCAGGCTGGAGGAGCAGGCTGTATCTATGGTAACGCTGGGACCTGGAGGCAATGACATAAAAGTAAATCAACAAAAACGGGGATGCAAAAACTGAATAGAATATGATTGAATAGACGTAGCTTTCCACCATCAGTGTGTGAATGAATGAATGTGGTGTGAAGCACTATTGGGTTCTCCAGACCTGATAAAGCAATATAGAAGTACAGGCCATTTGCCATTTACCAAAGAAATGTCCTTTATTGTCCCTCAGAGGGGAAATTCAGGTGTAGCAGCAGCAAAGTAACAAGATATCAAGTCTTGTATATTCACACAAAGATAAAAGAATAATATATTCAAAACTAAATGAAGAAATTAAGAATAATATACTACAGAGACCCTGTCTCTTTTGAAATGTACATGAGTAAAACACACATATGGAAGTTGAAGGCAAGCTACTGTGGTTGTGTTAGTCGGCATATATAAGTGTTTTAATGTTATTCTGTTGTTAAAATGAGAAAAGATCCAGCAAACATTTAAACATCAGCACTTCCGGGTATTCTGAACCCCTGTGGACTGGAAGAGTAGCTGATGAAGATTTAGAAATCGACAATGATCAGAACTGTTGTTGGACTGTGTAGCAATGCATTCACATTTTATCATGGCTGAGGAACTCATAAACTGGATCAGATGCTGCTTCAGGATATTGCAGTTTGACCACACAAGATTTTCACAGGCAACTTTCTGCCATTGCAATTATTATTCAATTAAATCTTTCCTGGAGAACAGTAATTTTTCCACATATCCATAAATATCCATCCAGCTGAGGCCTGTTTGTCCGATTGAAAGTATTTTTTGTAAATATACTTTAAGCAGCCAGGTGTTGGATGTACTTTTCACTAACCACCTATTTCTGTAGTAAACATTTATTTAATTGGTCCGATGGAATATTCCAATCTTAAATGTCATGTTTTCATGAACTCTGAGCAGAAAATTATAAACAACAGAAACAGAAAACATCAGACAGAGTTGAATGAATCTATATAATCTGTTCCACTCAGACATGGAGTTATTGAAATAAACAAAGTAAGTCTTCAGTAATATTCTCATTTATTGAATGCGACTCCATGCATTCAGCCACTAACTGTGTATGCATACCTTTGAAGTCGAAGAAGTAGGAGAGCCTGTTGGCCAACATGGCACGCTGGCAGCCTGTCATGCTGTAGCCCAGCAGCTCCTCTGGGTCTCTGCTGAAAGCCTCACCGGCTTCAGCACCGCTCACTCCAACATAGACCCCCGTCCTACTGCCGCGCATGTTGCTCGGATTAAGACCTGTTGGCAACGGGTTGTTGAACAATGACAACTCAGTTAAGCTTTACTGCTGATGTTACTGTTAGATGCATGATTCATGCATCTAACCGCGGTCCACTGTGTTTACCCACCTCCGTCCATGATAGCCTCGTAGGCGACCTCCAACATGAGACGGAGCTGGGGGTCCATGGTGTTGGCCTGTTTGGGGTGGACTCCGAAGAAAGCTGCATCAAAATGACTAATGTCCTTCAGTTTGCCGTTCCTTCTGGGCAGACCATACAAACCTTCAGAAAAGCAGAAAGACTACAGTTTAGATGAATCCGTATTGTGTTTGATACAGTGCTGAAAGAATTTTACATCAAAAATTTACAAGAACATATTTTAAATGTGGCAAGCATAAAAAAACCCGATGTTGCTGAAGCTCATATTAAGTCATTATATGATCTACAGCATCTTGAATGACATCACTGTAGACAAGCAAAGCTGTAAGTCATGCAGAATCCTAATCTTAAATCTACTGGATGGATGTGAAGATGGTGGTTACATGTAGAGGGAAATGGACCAGCAAAGCACCAACTTTCATAATGAAGGTCTGATTTAGATCACATAAATGAACCTGGTGGAGATGCTGATCCTCCAATTTTGAAATACTTAGAATGCATCAATGAAATGGTCAGAAAATACAACTGAAGAAGCACTGCAGAATGAACTCCACCTGCAGCTGATTTCCTTTCACATCTTTTTATCTGTGTATGTTTAGGTTTAACACAGAATTGAATTGAATTGAATTACTAATAAAACCAATATGTATGAGTAAATGAGAATGTGAGAAAAATAAGTAAAATATTTTTGACTGACCATGGTGCCGTGCAGATGTAATTTACTACACCATAATTCAAACCCAGCATTTCCACATAGCATGTCTAACCTGGGGTCCACCGCCGGTCGTCCTCTGTCACCATGTCCACACCATTGATGAGGTTTTCCCAAAACTCCTCCAAGTTGTCAGACTCTGGCAAGCGGCCTGATATTCCTGCTATGACGATCTCATCCATCCTGGATTACTGTAATTTCAGAAAAGAACAGTAGAAGAAAGTGACAGTAAACTCGTTAAAAAAAAAAACCTTTTCATTCTGGACAGGATGTTTGCCTCTGGATATTAATCTCAGAGCTTATTCCACGTGCTCTGCCTCCCCTTCTACTTTTAGAACCTCTAGAAACCATTAATCCAATAATCTGAGAGGGAAGGGAAGAGTTGATTCTATTGAGTCAACATGGCTCCTCATCAGTTATTTCCATGTAGTGAAATCACTTGCTAGCAGCATATGTATCATCTAAAGTATTCCCTCAACAAGACAACCCTGGGGAATAAGATGTTTAATGTCCAACCATGAGAACAGAACATAAAGCCCAATCCCACTGTGGTTCTTCGGGGCTAAGAAAATGTCCCAAAGCGCAGTAGCAAGGCATCCAAATAAAAATAACAAGGAGCACAAAAGACAAAAATTTACTTTTGGAGTGGCCTAGTCAAAGTCTGGACTTAAATCCAATTCAGATAATGTGGTATGACTTTAGACACACTGTTCATTCTGTAAAACCCTCCAATGGGACTGTATGAAAAGATTTTTGTAAAGGAGAGCAGACCAAGATTCCTCAGAGATGATGCTAAAGACTCCAGTTATCAGAAACTGTTGATGTCAGTTGCTGCTGCTAAGGGTGGCATAACTGGTTATTAGGTTTATGGGGCAATTACTGTTACCCAGAGGGGCAGGTTGGTTTGGACAGCTTGTTTCTCTTAATAAATGAATTTCTGATTTTGCTGTTTGTATCTGATAAATTTGTCTGATTTTAAACTTTTTTGATAACCAGAAACATTTAATTGGGAATAAACAGCAAAAGCAGAAGAAATCAGTCAGAGCAGAATGCAGTGCTTGGATGATCTGCCGAGAAACATTCACAAATCCATGTCGGCCATTACACCTTAACACTTTAATGAATAGAAAGAGAGATGGGCTCTTAGACAATTTGTTAACAGATCCCGTGCCATATTGAACAAACCCATACCACACACCAACGGCACTCTCACTTCAAGGAAACAGAAGCTACCCTCTGTACATAAAACCCAGTTCCTGAACATAGTCTAAACCGACGCAGTGCTGCTTAGCTCCAGAGCATGCCACAACAGGAGAGGACGAGTCAGCAGTTTAATGACAACAACGGCACAATATAAATCCATGCTGAACTCTGTGACTGCTCCCTAGGCAATGACAGGTTCTTCAAAAAAAATTAAATATGATGAAGTTCAATAATTGTATTAAGGAAGCAACATCCTCTACATAGAATGAAATAAACCAAGCCTTTATTTCTTTTCGTTTTGATAATTATGGCTTACAGAAAAAAAAACTCAGAATCTCATACAATGATATAATGTTGAAATTATTGAACTTTTTTATATTTTATTTTTTAGAGCTACCTGTATGTCATCCTCCTCTACTATCCAATAAGAAGAACCTGCTGAATAATAACAGGAAACCAGCTTACTCAACTTCCTGATCAGCTTCCCCACAATCTCTACAATCATCTCATAGTAAAGCTACTGATCAGGAATATCACGGCTATCATGTGCTAAATGCTGCTCAACACTGGGAGTGAAATATGATTCATTTACAAGTAGAGCACCCAATAAAATGTTTTGTTTGGTAATTCATAAAATATCACTGAACTGAATGCAACATCAGTTCAAATCACACAAATATCACCAATTCCCAACAACAATCATTTCAGGAATCATTCAAAGCAAACAGGTCCAATGTTAAAATGCATTCACTTCAGTCCACTTTATTCCAAGACAATCCAATAAAACATATGGATATTGACGTTCAAAAGCAAAACTTTGATGCAATTCTGAGTCCTGGGAAAGTCCAAGGAAGAGAATTCTTAGATTGCCTCTGAGTGTAAGACTCTGATGGTTGACGATGAGCACTGATGTCATGGCTGAAATATGAATACAACTCATGTGTTTACATCTATAGCCACTAAGATTTTCAATAATGTATTGTGTGAGCAGACTTACTTATCAACTTAACTGTAGTTTTTATTTAATGGAAAACTGCAAATGTGAATAGATTTTTTTTAAATTAGCAGAATATTAAAAGATTTTTTTGACATACGATATTAGTAAATACAGTATCAGCTATGGGCCATTACAACAGCATTAAAATTGGCAATAATACCGACCAAAGTTTTCATTTTGGTGCATCCCTTATAACTGTAATCAACAGAAACAGCTCTCAGCATTTCCTAGCCCCACTTTGTTTCTCAAGGAGCAGCCAAATAAGTGATGGCTCTGTCCCCAACTTCCCCCTGGAAGAGCCCCCCCTTTTCTGACCCCACCGTCCCCACACAACCACACACACACACACACACACACACACACACACACACACACACACACACACACACACACACACACACACACACTGGTATAACAAAAATACTTAGAGCAAAAAATATAAAGCTGTTTCACAGAAAAAGGCTTTTTTGAATCACTTATTTTTAATTAATAAAAAGGTCCAACAATCATAGACAAATATTTCTGCTAGGCTAGTGCCTTAGAAAGCCAGCGTGCCATCCATGTTAAGAGGATAAAGGGAATCTTTAACAGCGCAGTCACTTCTTCCAGGAACCTGATCAGCCAGACCTGATACTGAAGTACTAGACCGGTTGGTCACAACTCAAGCGACTGGAAAGTTCAGATGGAGGAATTTAGGAGTGGAAAGTCACTGTTGATGCCCAACACGTTCTCTCTTGTGGTTAGAAGAGAACAGTTCTAAGAAAAGTTAGCATCAACCGTTAGTCAAACTTTTCAAATAAAAGGCTAAATTTTATCTTTATCAATTCTAATTACTTACATCCCAAGTTACTTTTGTTTGTTTTTGTTTTTTGTTTTTTTTTAAGTGACGCAGCAGCGTGAGAGAATTAGAGCTTAAGCTCAGTGGAAAAGCAGAGAGCTCACCTGGTTCTGACTCTTCTTCGTGTCCCGGTGCTGAATTCGTTCGGAAGGCAGTTCAGCTAGGTCTCGTCGGGAACCCGCTCCTCTCCTCAATGTTCAGCCTCCGTGCTTCTTTCCCTTTTTTTCCCTCTGATGAATATAAATGTGCTGTATTATGTCTGGCCACGCCACATGGGCTGACAGCCGCTTGACGGTGCAGTCCAATGAGAGGAGAGGCAGAGCTTCTGGATCCAGCCAGTGATGGAGTAATTCGTTGGCCTCCGACGTAACAGGAACAAAGATGTTGGCAGGGGGGTTACTCCAGTTCAGGCTCCTCTAACTCGTCCCGAGTCGCTTTGCTCCTACTGCCCGAAAATGTTACGACTCAATAAACAATGTTTAGGCTGAACGGAAAAGAACAAACCGACTTTCTACTTTTTGAATAATTGTTCAAATAATTATTCTTCATTTGGTCAAGTGACTCAGGGAAAACTGATGTTAAGCCATGAGAACTTCACATAAAAAGCACCGGTTTAATACCAACCATTTTATTATCTTTGCGATCTTAAAATTAAATGATGCATAAGAACAAAAGACTCCACGAGACCGGTGCTTTCACACGTTGATGTCAACAATGAACTATTCGACATGACGTCTGACTTGACCAATCACGCAGCGGAGGTGTGAGGGCTTATCCAATCACCGTAGAGAGTTGTGTGACTTTCAGAGATAAGGTGATTATAAGGCAAGCCCAAATGCTGACGTCACCTGCAGTTCTCGCGTGATCTCTTTGGGTTACTGGAGTTCATCATTTCGGTCAGGCTTCTGTAAGGACTCACTTAACCCGGCTACTGTGGTAATACAGAGATAACAAAGGCAAACTCTATCTTGCTAAATAGATAGATAGTAAAATAAACAAAGAGCAGCACAGGTCATGTTATTTCAGGAACAAGTTGCATGCTATGTTTAAAATCAGCTTAAGTTCATGAAAATTAAATAAAAATTATACCAACATAGTCTTATTCTGAGTTTCTTTTTATTACTCTGAGAAAATATTATTGCGTTTTGAAAGTGGTTCATAAGGAAGAGACTGCTGATGCCCAGCTATCCTGTAAGCCACAGTGCAATTTCAGTATATGGACTCATCAGAATGCAGTAGAGTTTTTCTTCCCATGAAAGATTTTAAAGCATGTAAAAACTCCAGTGCCAGTTACCCTCTCCACAGGACAGCCACTGGTGTACTCTACAGCATGTATAATATTTCCCTGAAGGGTTTAGCTTTATTGATATTAGAACAGGTTGTCATCCCCACAGCTAATGTCTTAACTTAGCTGTGTTAAAGGGGAAGAGAGTAGTTTATGTTGTCAACTTTTTTTATTTTTATTTTTACTTTTGTATTGTGTTACATTGTTCAAAAACATATCTGGAATGTTGTTTAGATTCTTTCATATGTGTTTGTGAATTCCACAAATCTTCCGTGGCAACCATTCAGGGGTGCCTAAAAAAATTATACAATGCACTGCCTGCTTTTACAAAGCTCCTCATTGAAACTGCAGTCTCAAGCAAAGTTTCCACCTCACAGAAGAGACACCTCCCCCTCTCAGCCCCTCCAGACTAGCAGCAGCAGTTACCAAAACCTGACAAACTGCTGCTGAGGTCATCAAGCAAACTACTTCTCAGTCCAACACTCCGAAGAACTGTTATTAATGGTATAATGAGGTGCATTATTTGGGTGGCATTCTGAAGGGGTTTATTGAATAGAGCAGAAGCTTTTTAAAGAGACAGAGGCCAATTTCAAAATGTCAAATTGCAAAGTCAGATTATCCTTGACATATACAGTATTTTTATAACAATTGGAAGTATTATAGCATTGTGCTATAAAATGGTACTATGTCCAGAAAACACCTATTACTGCCCCTTTAATTATTTCAGTCTCATTGTTGAATCTGAATTTATCCTTTTATCCTGGCATTAGTGGCCTTTATTTGTTGCAGATCCAAAAGAATATGGATACAGACAGAAAAATAGAAGAAAATGTGTCAGTCAGGAACCCTTGTCCAAATACAGGGCTGCTGCAGTTCTGCTGGACCACCATCGACCCCCCAATATGAGCTAATTTGTACTAAATATTGCAGTCTCGTCATGTATCAGCAGAGTCACAAACAAAGGACTGAACACACTTAAGGGGGGGCTCGAGGCTAGTTTGATGGAGCATAAATTCTTCCTGCTGACATGTATTGTTGGTTATCTTTCTGCCAGGTCCAAAATTCAGTTATAGAGGGATGTTTTAATACTGAGCTGTGAGCTTCATTGTAAGCTTCAGAATGCTTGTTGGAGGCTAAGGCCATAGGAGAGCTTTTCTTTCTATAGTTTTTGGATATGAAGCACCGTTTGTTATCTGTGAACTAAGTGACATCATGGACAAAATTTGACAAGGATTTTGTATATTAGAAGCATTGATGAACATTCACCAATTAATCAAAAGGCTATTTTCAAAATTAAGATAAAAATCAAGAGATTAAACATATGGAACATGATGTTCTTAGTTTTGGCTATGTGACAGAGCCTCCTTTAGCAGCTGGGTTACTGTGACTATGGAGACTGAGGTAGAGGATGGTGAACATAGTGTAGTGGTTTATTCCCCCAAGACATATATAGTGTAAGCTAGAAGTTTACACACTAAAAAAAGACACAAAGACCTTTTTGTCACTATCCGATGTTAAGTCTGACCACACTTTGCTTGTTTTATATAAGTTAGAATTAAAAAAATGTATCATAAATACTTATTAAATTACACATAATAATAAGAGAAAGAATATGCCAGAAGTTTATTTATTAATTATTTATTAAAGAAAAACAGGGATGCTTCTCAGTGGTCAACATAAAACAGCATGTTATGTTGCTGTTGTTGTTTAGATCACTACTTAACAAGGAGGCTTTTCTGTTGAACATCTTTAAATTGCTGTAGTATCTGCCCCCCCTGTTTCATCATATTGTGATATCGCAGTCTGTTCACTGGGTATTACATGGAGCAACAGTCCAGAGTCAGTTGGTTTAAACCCACCTGAGTAGTGAGTATGAAAGTGCGTGATTGACTCATGCTGACCCTGTATCAGACTGATGATCTGCCTGTGGCAAAACCTATGTCTTGCCTAACGACTGATAGAACAGTGTGTTTGCCACCACTGGTCAGGAATCATAAATCAACACTTGATTGTTCAGTCTTTCTCCTGCATTAAATTCAAATTATAAAAGACTCAGATATATGACATAATTTGACATATGTTATGTCACAAAAAAACTTCTACATGGAGAACATATCTATTTGTTAGTATTGATCACCTTCCCACAGTATTCTTCTTCTTATGTTTGCTCTCTCTATATTTATACATATAAATATAAATATATATATATATATATATATATTATATATATATATATATATATATATATATATATATATATATATATATATATATATTTATATATACACTTATATATACATATATGTGCATATATAAATATATATATCTATATGCACCCCCTATAGTCAGAATATATATATAATTATCATAGAATGTGGCGCCTGTCTTGAAATATGCAGAAGTTTGTACGTTTCTGATTCTCAAAGTCAGAGATTTAGAGTCTTTAATACACTGCTCAAAAAAATAAAGGGAACGCTCAAATAACACATCCTAGATCTGAATGAATGAAATAAATATGAAAATAATTTCCACATGTTGTCTATTCCATTTGCACAACAGCAGGTGATATTGATTGTCAATCAGTGTTGCTTTCTAAGTGGACAGTTTGATTTCACAGAAGTTTGATTTACTTGGAGTTATATTGTGTTGTTTGAGTGTTTCCTTTATTTTTTGAGCAGTATATATTACATTTGTAACTAACTAACTAACTAACTAACTAACTAACTAACTAACTAAATAAATAAATAAATAACTAAATAAATAAATGTGAATTTTTCTTTTTTTCGTTGTTCGGCAACAAATCAAAAAACGGCTACAATTTGAAATGAAGATTTTTTATTTAGAATAAATACTTTATTGGGGCCTGCCTAGCAATGCATAAGGAGAGCAGTTACTGACTTGCAAAGCAAGTCAGTAACTGCCTCCATGCATTGCATGGCAGGCACCTATTAATCTACACCCAATAGAATGTCTCTTTATTGGGGCCCTGCCCATAGCAATGCATAAGGAGAGCAGTTACTGACTTGCGAAGCAAGTCAGTAACTGCCTCCATGCATTGCATGGCAGGCACCTATTGTTCTTCACCTAATAGAATGCCTCTTTATTGGGGCCTGCCTAGCAATGCATAAGGAGAGCAGTGACTGACTTGCGAAGCAAGTCAGTCACTGCCTCCATGCATTGCATGGCAGGCACCTATTAATCTACACCCAATAGAACGCCTCTTTATTGGGGCCTGCCTAGCAATGCATAAGGAGAGCAGTGACTGACTTGCGAAGCAAGTCAGTCACTGCCTCCATGCATTGCATGGCAGGCACCTATTAATCTACACCCAATAGAATGCCTCTTTATTATTGGGGCCTGCCTAGCAATGCATAAGGAGAGCAGTGACTGACTTGCGAAGCAAGTCAGTCACTGCCTCCATGCATTGCATGGCAGGCACCTATTGTTCTTCACCTAATAGAATGCCTCTTTATTGGGGCCTGCCTAGCAATGCATAAGGAGAGCAGTGACTGACTTGCGAAGCAAGTCAGTCACTGCCTCCATGCATTGCATGGCAGGCACCTATTAATCTACACCCAATAGAATGTCTCTTTATTATTATTGGGGCCTGCCCATAGCAATGCATAAGGAGAGCAGTGACTGACTTGCGAAGCAAGTCAGTCACTGCCTCCATGCATTGCATGGCAGGCACCTATTAATCTTCACCCAATAGAACGCCTCTTTATTATTATTATTATAACTTCTTCTTCCGCTACCGTTAATGCGGCTCGTACCGCTGCGAGCCCACCCACAAAAGTGGTATCAAAACGTGCGGCTCGTTCCCGGCATTGGAGCTATTACTTTTATGGGGAATCGGCGTTACGACGGCGACGTAAAAAGCGAAAAACGAGCAAAATTTCCAACTGCCGAAACGCAGAGCATAACTGCCACCAACTGCCGCTCCGCTAGAGTGAAAAATGAAGTGGATTTCTGACCCCAAATAAATTTTGAAATTGCCGCCACGCCCACAAATATCGTGCTATCGGTATGAAACTCGGACATGACATCGATACGAATGTTTGCTCCGGTAAAATGTTTTCAAAATTTTTCTAGGGCTTACGGTTTTCTGTCAAGGTGCTTTAGAGCAAAATCAAGTTCCAGCCTAACTGACGCTCTCCACCATATATTTTCATACTTTTATGGAAAATTTCAGACCTCAGCACACACCATTTTTCTCTCATCGCTGTAATTACTGTGAATGAGCTACAGATTTGATTTGCAGGACTATCGGAGACAAAAAATAGCTCTCTCATACGCTTCAAACGGTTTTCCAATACGTATCACGGTTTCTGAACGGCAAGGAGTTGTTCGGGCTGCTTTTT